GAAAGAAAGCCTGTATTGTTAGGAATGAATAAGGAAGTATATCTACTTCGGCTCAGTAATCAAAACATTTTCAAAGTGAATTAAGTGATTCTGCAGTTCTTAAAACAGTGCTGTTTCAGCTGAAAAAAAAAACTTAGAGTTGATCATAACCATACAGAAAAGATTTCCATAGTTATAAAACAAGAGGTTTTAAATATGCATGTTGCCAAACTCAAAATAGCTGTATACAAATATTTCAACAGGAAAAAAATAAAATAAAACAAACAAACAACAACAACAACAAAAAACCCCAAACATTACTTTTTTAGTCATTGCAAAAAATTAGCAGGCTCTAAATCCTGGTGAGAGTTCTGTAAAACCAGGACGATCTCAGTGCTTGAGCCTGTTGCATGAACTAAATGGCACAGTCCGTATTAGCACAGAATGGACAAAATCAGGACAAGCAAATGAAAGACAGTATGAATATTTAAACAGGAAAGAATTTCAATACAATGGTCTTTCATCTTTAAGGAGAATATTTTTTTTTTAATCCACTAAACAAAATTAAATAGGGAAGAGGAAGAAATATATTTCAAACCTTTTCTATATATTCACTTAAGGTTAAAAAAAACCAAAAAAAACCCAAATAGGGAAGGGTGGGGGAAGGTCACTTAACTATACAGAAATAAATATAGATCAAATAAGCATCCAAATGGGAAAAATCTAGTTACTTTAAAAAAACCCACGTCATTTGACATTTTTGTGCCATGTCATTAAGCTGCATGCTATCTTCTGTATTACCGTTACCAGTGCTTTTTAATGCATCTGGACTCCCAGAAGACTAAAAGACACTGCTATGCTCTCCACGCTCCTTGGCCCCCCCCCTCCCTGTACTATCACAGTGCCTCCACAGGCATTTCTGCAGACCACCCAAGTATCATTGCTGTATGGAAAATACTATAACCAAAACAGCGAAATGCTTGCATAAAAAATCCAAACTTCTGAGCTGAACGTTAACTCATTGTAAACTTCTAAGCAAAATCTGTTAAGCAGATTGGAAAATAAAAAAAAACCACCTTAGTTGTAGTGTGGGGTTTTTTAAATAATAAATTTTAATCAAGGGCATAGCTTTACTTGCAGATATTTTGCTTCCTGAACTGTATTTTATTTAAAAAAAAAAAAATCCTAATTGAAATAATATTAAGACTCGGGTTTAAACCTACAAAAAGATTTAAGAATGAAACTCTCCTGAATGGTACTGTACTTCAGTACTGCATTTTACGCTGCACTGCAAAACAGTATCTAAAAATAACAACCTGTCCTTAAATAAAAAGTCCTGATCACAGTGGGAGAGGCTACAATCCTCAGTTTCCAAGCTACCAATATTTAAAGTCAAATCCTTAATGTAGGTTTCTGTAAATATAATATTGGCAATCAGGAGGTTTTAGTTTTGTTACGAGTATTCTAAAATATTCTCGAGCCTTTTACTGACTCAATGAATCACCCAGATACAGCCCTTTTCAGCAAATTTAACTACGATTTCAAGGAATATCAGTTTTAAATAAGAATCAAGTGGAGAAAACTACCCAGCTGTCAGTAGTACCCTGTGAATTAACTGAAGGCAAAATAAATTTGCCTCAGCTTAAGACAGAAAGCGCTTTGCTGATTCTCTGATGAATTCTTCGTGTGTACAGTTATTAGAAAGACCGCACAATCTTTCCACTTACAACTTTTGCTCCCAGCATAACTTCCCTGATTGCTGTTAACACAAAACCTATGAATTAAAATGCCCATTTTTGTTCTTCCAATCCTTTTATACTCTAGGCTGCCAATGAATTTCACTGTACGGTTCTCTGCCATTTCAAGAAGGATCCATAACGCAGAAACTGAGAGCCCATTTTCTAAAGATGTCTGATTTCTTTAACAACTAAATGCAGACATTAAATGTGATGAAATCTAGGAAACAAGCAGTGGTTCATGTTGATTTTAAAAGTACTTCTAGCGGGTAGGAAGACAGGCAAACTTAAAGCATACACTTTAAATTTTACTTAGAGCTACAGAAATTTAAGTGAGTTATTATAAAGTTAAAGAATATTTAAAGCCTTGGAAATAATTTTTCATGCCTGAATTAGCTAGTCATGTTTTTGTGCTCGAGTCGTTTTCCTAAGACATCTTATTCCATCTTGATAAGCACAAGGAAAATTTTATTCATATAACTGATAAACTTAATCTGTACACTTCAACTTGTATGTTAGCCAAAAAGGCATCTCTTTCTTTGCAGGAAAATAATAATTAGAGCTACAGCAGCTGAATAATTAATTTGTTAGTATTAGGCTTCATAATTTATTATTATTATTAGTCTGATTTAAAACCTCAACACCATCCCCAGCTTCAGCCTTTTAGTAAATTCATCCCTTTTATAATCAGTTTTCAGGCTGGAACGTAAGCGTTTTGCTGCTATTCTGTATGGGATATGCTTGAGAAGGGTTTGAAAGACCAAGTTTGTTGCTTACCTATGGAGGCACTAGCGAGCAACAGTGGTGTAAGAACACCATTATAAAACAGAACCATTTAATCTGTAGAGCAAAGTAATACAACTATTTTTCCCCCTTCTAAACTTCCAGTGTGTTTTATACCTTTTGAAACAACACCCTCGTGATGCTGCAAATGTCGCTGCTAAACTGGATTACAGTCACTGTTTGTATTTCACATACAGGAAAGTTTAGCAAAGCAGCACATCTTGTGATGCGAAACGATGCTATTTGCATGCTTTTGATCTATAGCATCGTCTGTGTTTAACTGAAAGGCTTACTGAAGCTCTGCAAAGTTATTCTGACTTCTTGCAAAGTCGAGATTTTGAGAGAAAGGTAAATTTAGATAATGAGTAAACCAAAATATCATTGTAAGTGTATAGCTTTAACATATTAGCAAAATAGATATAAAACGCAACCAGTTTTCTTTCCAGCACGTTCCCTTTAACTGGGTTAATGTGAAAATGGTTGCCTCCATTTATACAGAAAGATTTTTATTTTTAACATGCAAGATTATTGTAGTTATCTGCTGCTAGAAAATATGTACTGTATAAACATCTCCTTTATCTTGAACTTCAGTATTTCTGTGCCTCCAAGAAGAGTAAAACCATCTGGTTAAGTTACTATGGCTGAGTAGAACACGCAGGCAAAATCCTGTATGAATTGCATATAAAATAAACCGTGGCTTCAGTCCTCCTTGTTTTTCCCCATGTTAGTGCGACCAGCCTGTTGCAATCGCACCTCTGAGACATGTCAGCACAATGCCAACTGATGTACCGAAACGCTTCTTTTCCGAATAAAATCACGTTACGTTCTCGTTCTACAGCTCCCAATGTTTTAAAGTTTAATTCTGTGATGTGTGTTCTCCCCCCTCCCCCAAGAAAGCCCCCCAAACCGGAATGGTACAAAGCGTTGCACAGCAGCGGCGATGGCTCCAAGGGACTGGCTGGACGGAGTTGTCATGTGTCTGCCTGTCTACACTTGCTGTGCAGAACATCCTCTCACCTGTACAGCAGGCACAGACAGGCAGTCGCATGACAACCCAGCCTGAGGGACAGCCGCCCGTGGGAAACCGCTCTGACACACCAGAGCATCTTCACCAACAGCTCCAGCCAAGAGTCACTCTGGATCTCAGACGGCCGGTCAGTAACCAAGCCGCGTGCTGCAACCCACCTAGAGGCAAACCGATAAAAGACAATAAAACCCGCTGCTGAAATTTTTACTGTGCTTCCTATAGTACTCTTTTCCTAGTTGTTCTCATTAACTCACTAACAACGAGTTTTATTTACACGCAGCTTTGCGGCACCGTTGTATGTTTTGTCCTCCCATCTACTTCTCAGGCATAACTCGAGCATCTTGCAGCACTACATTACTGTCGGTATAAAAATCACTAACGTTCCTGCTAGCCACGGAAACAGACTGTGTGGCAAGTTAATCCTGTGAACACGCACAGTGTCAGACCTTAGAGGAACTTCGCCCCTTTTCCACGCTCTCACCTCCTCACTTATTTTAGCATCTCCCTCCCAAATCACACCGAATTTTACAACGGGGAATGAAGTGTGAAATTATAATACAGACTGCATCTGTCACTGGATGTTGACAATATTATCCTTTCCTATTGAAACAGAATGAAAATATTTTATCTGGAAATAAGACTAAAGGGGATTTTTTCCCCTTAAATGTAAATTTCACATTTTCAGAAGTTCTTATCCCAGAGCCCAGCTTGGCATCCTCTGCGCACCAATAATGCCAGCAAAATCTCCGGGTGCTTTGGAAAGAATAACACATTCTCTGACCATGCCCTGTAAAAACACTACACCGCTTTACAAATAGCATCCTTTTGTTTACAGTAAGGAGCTTTTTGATTCGCGAGCTAGGATGGCATTCCCCGTTCCCAAAGTCCATTTTATCCCAGAAGTGGCTAATTCACAAACTTCAGATTCGCAGGTTGGCTCCCAAATGAACCTCAGCACAAAAGCTTACAGCCTTTTGTGCTATTTAACAGAACAGTAAGAATTGGGAGCTAAAATGCTCAGATTTAATCTTGTGTGTGTAGGTATGCCTTATAACACTTTAGCTAGTATTACATGGAATACTCCACCAACAAAATCTGTATTTGTGAGGTCAATGGATGTGCTAATCTGGCACTTACAACTGCCTCAAAGGGGTAAACCATTTTTTCCGTGCTTCGTTTCAAGCAAGTGGAAAAGCACAAAGTCACGGTGCTGGTCACGCAGCGAAGTTATGAACACAAGCAACTGTACGCAGGATCAGAAACTAATCCAGATTAGTATTCACATAACTGATACCATAACTGCTCTAACCACACTGTTCAAATGTCAACTTGGTGTTTCCATATTTACAAGCCTAAAAAGCATTCTTCGGCATTATTCCCACCTCACCAGGAATATAATCCCGTGGTATGTCTGAGCAGCTACAAAACCAAGTCAGTAGTTTCTTTTGTAATAACTTATCGGACAGCAAATTTTGAACTCCTTTGCCAAAGTAACTTGCTGCAAAACGCATTCCACTGTGGATTCTGCACTTAGAAAAGCTGCAGCTTCCAAATAAAGGAAATTATTTACAACCTTGTAATGGCACTAGCAAGCAACCACTTGCATTCAGGGAGTGATGTTCATCCCGGAGTAAATTCCAGTCTATAGAAAACAGGCTCAGCTTACACTAGAGGGGGTACACAGGCGCAGAGGCCCCAGCAAGCACTGTGGCTTGTAAAATACATTGTCAGAGCTCGCTGGCACACAAACGGCTGCCACATTCCTTACTCAGGGGTAGAGGCGCAGGGGGAACCAACTCATCACTGCGGCAAGAGAACAAAGGTGAGACCTGACTTATGCATCTTGCCCGGCCGCGATGGAGAGGCTCTCGCTACCGTGCAAGGACTGCAGAAGTGACCGGCCCGAGCGGGAGGCACGGGGGGATCTGAACTCCCTCCGACCTCACAGCGTGCACAGCCACACTCGGCCCCGGCACAGTCCGGACACATAAACACGGGTATCACTTCACACATCACTGAAGACTACGTATCTTACCAGGGTGGAAATAGAACAGCACGCGGCCGTTTCAATAATCATTGAGAACAGGATGTGACAGCTACCAAGCCAAGCTGAAAGCAAGGAGAACGTTTTAGGGAGACAAAATGTAATAATAAAAATTGGAATTCAGCCAGGAGATTAAGTATTTGCTGCTTTATTTTCAGAAGCCAGTAGTTCTGTTTCTGAAACAAGCCGCTCGTCTTTTGACTAACCTAATGGTCAAGCTGTGGCTTCGACCCTCTTCGGAAAGCTGAACCAGACCTTACTAATTTTTAAGTCCTACTGAGAAAGGCCCAGTAAATAATTTTTTTTTTAAATTTTTAAAAATCCAACGTATCTTTCCCAGGACTGAATAATCAAACGATACAGCAAATCTGTACTTAAGGAGGAATTTCATCCGCCAGCAAGGCACGGAATAGTACTACGCTAGTGTCTTCTCTTAACACTCTAAGAAATTCCTGAGTGATCTCCCATATTGGCCTGAATAAACTACTGGTATTTTCATGGCTCTCGAAACACAACTGCCTGACACTTTTTTATATTTCACATCAAACAAAGATCAGACACAAAATCAACACTAAAATTACCTAAATTATTGCCACAGCACACCTTGGATGCACCTCCAATTGCTTGAGACAGACATAGCAAGGGGTGTTAATCTCACATCATTTATCTCATTTTAGTTACAGTTACCTGTACTAATCTAAGACAAGTTCTAGTAGCTTCAAGGTAGGTCACGACAAAAACAGCTTCAAATTCGCAACTTCATAAAGGCACTTTTGCATGTCTTTTTCATTCATTTTTATGCCATTACAACAAAATATTTCAACTTATATTTCCACAATCTCAGAATAAAACTTCCCCTCTTGACACACAGCACTTGGCTCCTCCCCACCGTCCAATTTTCCCATTTGAATCCCTTTAAAACGTAACAAAAGGGCAAGTGGCAAAATCTTCACAATTAACCTACTTTGTCCCACAATCTTAAGGTCTATCCCAAAATGGGTCGTGACTCAGGAAAAACCCACTGCTGACCCGCGGAGTTGCCACCATCAGCACTATTACTGAAGTAACTACCTACAAGTACCACATCCTGGATTCGTAGGACTCGGCAGAGCTCCGACAGGTACATGCACTGCAGAACCTCTCCCCAGTGGTTCTAGAAAACCCACTGCAGTCAAACACTAAGTTAGTTTAAATGGCATATGAATTGTCTGCACGGTCCCCATCAACCAACTCCTCCTTTTGTTGGGGTAAGCCAGTGTTTTGATTATTACTTAGAATACGATGGAAAGATTGAGTGATGGTTTAGAGCTCATTTAATACTCTCCTTACCTGTGACTCTTCCATCCAATGAACTGGTTCACCCTAAAAATCACTATATTTTTCCTGAAAAAATTTAACTTCAAAACAAACAAACAAACCCCACAAACATACAATATTAGGAATTTTTTTTTTTTTTTAAGTGTAGCCCAATTTGTCTTCAAAACCAACACAAACCTTAAAAAACACAATGGCTTTACTCTAGAGCTGATAGTGCACATAATAATCCCATCTTAACCTTCAAAAATTAACAAGACAACTGCTGGAGTTTTGGATAGAGTGCATAATTACCAACACTTCTTTTTTTTTTTTTTTAAATATTGAAACAGACCAGATGAGCCACCTAACAACATATTCAAGAGAGTGATCATCCTGGACGTCCTCCTGTTTAGCACAAAAATGCTTTTTCCAGTTCTTGCATTACTCACTTCAGATTTTCTGATCAGCAGTGACATTCCTTACCGAGGTGTATTTTTTGTCAAATTTGAAAATCTGTATCAAGCAGCTACAGGACTCTGACCACAGGCTTTTCATCTTCTCAGAATATGATGCCAGAGAACAATTACTACCATTAAATCAGTTGGTGTAGTTACTTTTAGAAGTAACTTTACCTAGACAATTTATGTTCACTAATAACCAGAACATTCCGGAACAGCCTTTTTCTTTTTTTTTTTTTTCCCCCAGACCAATGTGTGGAAACTACAGGAAGAGAGGAAAAAAGTAAACCAAAACCCAAACAAAAGCACCCCACACAACCCCTGTATCGATGTTATCAACATTTCCACAGAAGTCTTAAGAGGATCAGCATTCTCCGTTAATCAAAACCAGAAAAATTAAAGAACACACTTTAAAACATTCTTCCAGTTCAAGTCTGTACAAGCTGATTTAATATTTTAAGCTGATACCAGAAGATTGAACAAATACTGGCTTTTTTCCCCAGTAGAAAAACGTTCTTCATTCCTTACCTCATCATCCTTATACCAGGACAAGCTTTCTGCAGTAAGAACGAACCAGTATTCCTTGGATCCTCCTTTCATGATGCCAATATTGTTGATGGTCAGCCAGCCTTTCCGGATAACCTGTGCAGAGGTGCAGTCAGGCACAAGTTTAGTTCATTACTCACTTGACATAATTTTGCTGCTGCATTCATTATTTTAAATAAATAATTGCTAAATAAAACAGGAACAGGTATATTCTTTTCAGTCTCTGGCAAATTCAAGAGTTTTCGCAGCTTTTGATCATTCAAGAAAAAAACCAAAAACATAACAACGTGAATGTAGTGTTTTCAGTCCAAAGGTTGGAGAAAGGAGAAGCCTAAGTATCCGCGTGTTGTACTTACAGCAGGTATGAGAGCATTAAGAATCGTGTAAACTTGAAGATATGTGCTTGTTGTACAGTAACAGATTGCAAAAGTCCATACAACTTTATATATGACTATTCTGTTCTAGTCTAATCGTTAAGGTCATTTGTAAAGTTGGATACTAGGAAAAGCACTTGGGTTCTGGCAAAGCGAGTAGCTTCTGGCATGCACTGGGAATTTCCAGAAGGGGTTGAGTTGAGTGACGATGTGGAGAGGTCTTCTACAGTTAATTTGAAATTAAGACAGGAAGTGGTAAGGAGAGGTATATGAGAGCTACTTTCCTCTCATAAGGTAGAAGAGGAAAAGAGGGGGGAAAAAACTAAGGCAGCAATAAAAATCAGTGGTGAAAATGGGTAAAGAGGAACTTTATGAAATAGATACAAGCCAAAGAAGAAATGAGAGATGTAAACAGCATACCTATGAATACTAAGGCCAGGAGGCCACATCACGCAAAAACAAAGACGGACAAAAGAAAATTTAAGAGGAATGAGACAACTCCAGAGGTGAAGAAGAGTGAATGGTGATAACTAGTTTATGGATCATATAGAAACATTCGGGTTTATAGGAACATTAATTGTTTTCCAATACGTACATGAGAAAGCAAGTGCTCCTTCCCATCATACTCGGAACAAGGCAACAGAACTCTCCCAAGCACACAGACTCAGGGAACCTCAGTCGTTCTGTTTCTCCCCACAACACCCCCTTTCATTTGCCTATTGAGCACTGAGATGGAAGGAAGAAGTGTTCAGAGAAGCCCTTCAGAACTCCCTCAACAAGTCCCACAAGCACAGACCTGCTTTTAGAGAAACACACCAGACAGTGACATTCCTCTCACAAGACTAGCACCTCCAATATCAACAGGTAACCAGGGGAAAACATTGCTCGATATCTATTCCTTGTCACCTACAGAAGTTTCAGAATCCGAATTCACTCCCATTCAGGACGCACATTCATGTAAGCTCCCTGAAAAATCCAGCTTCGGTGCTGCACGGAACATGGGACTAAATTGTATTTGATAATTAAACCAAAGAAAGAGATCAGAATTTGCACCTGAAAAGCTGGTAAAAGCACCAGTAATGCACATAATCCAAGAGTATCCATTTCATTTCCAATGTGATGACCATGTTTGCCCACTCACTACCAACCAGGCCGGCAGTGTAAGAAAACCACTGAAGATGCAAAGTGTGTGGGTTTTCAGCCTGTGAGAAAACCTTAAGAAAGCACTGATTCGGTTCTGAAGACTCGGTAAGCTGTGAGAGAACTGGACATTCTCTCAATGAACAACTCCATTACCCATACAGGGGTAATGGGTATAAATTGAAATCAGGGAGGTTTAGACTAGATATCAGGAAGAAATTCTTCACAGAGAGGGTGGTGAGGCACTGGAACAGGTTGCCCAGAGATGTTGTGGATGCCCCCTCCCTGGATGTCTTCAAGGCCAGGCTGGATGAGGCTTGGAGCAACCTGGTCTAGTGGAAGGTGTCCCTGCCCATGGCAGGGGGGTTGGAACTGGATGATCTTTAAGGTCCCTTCAATCCTTAACCATTCTATGATTCCATGATTCTATGACATGACTCCCATAGAGAGACGCCAAGGTATAACACGAGCAGACTGGATGAAACAGCCTGTACCACACAGGCCTCTGCAGATGTCTGTAGTAATATTCTAAATATTCACGTTCGTTGGGAGCGAGGAGTGGAGAGGAGGGCATTAACGAGTACAAATAGACACAGAATGCCCGTCTGAATGCAAGTTAAGGGAAACATGCTGATAGGAACTTGATTACCCAACTTTATCACTTGATTTTATGATGTTCATTGAAGCAAAATATAGAGGAAACAAGCAGCATGCATATATTGCCAGTCTACTGGCCTCCAGGCAGCTGCCACAAAAGTAGTTGTGGAACTGAGCTAACTTCATTGCGCTAAAATGCACAAGTGGAAATGAAATAAATTTTAGGAAAAACCCAGGAAATTAAGGTTCCCAAGCCGCTTGAGCCTAGCTCCACAACAAGGTGAGCTGTATTTGTAAAGCAGACTAAATACATCCCAGCACGCGCACAAAGGTGGTTATTCCCGTGGTGTAAAAACTGAAACGGGGCTGTGAGCGAGGATGCTTGAACCATGCTGCCCGCAACTGAAAACGCCGTGTGGCTCCCCATAAGGCACAGTCCCACATACAGGAAGCACAGGCAGCTGGGCCAGCACACTACTGAAAACTGGTTTGGACACACATCGTAGAGAGGGTAAAAGATTTGAAGACAGATGTCACAGCGGGGATAAAGAGGCGGTTTCTAGAAGCAAACCAGTAAAAAACACACGAGTGGCGTGTTCAAGAACCTTACAGGTGATGAGCACTCGGAAGGGAAGTAGCACTATGCTTATTCCAGTCAATGCTTTCCCTCATCATTTCCACAGGCTTTGTAGCCTGTAAATAAGTCAAATTTTCTCAGTTTGACAAGAGCAACTTTGTGGTAGTGGGCTCAGAGCAGACTAAGATTTTAAAATCTAAACTATACAAGCCATTTAAGAAATAACAAAGCTTTTAATCCTTCCAATGTAGGAACTACGCTAGTTGTGTCGCCCCAAAAGACCATCTTGCTCCAGTCCAACGCATCTCCCCGCAGATGCATAACCATCACTGGGTGTGGACAGAAACAAGCTGACTTGCTAATACAAACATTGGTCACCGTCTTGTAAAGGAAGGAATTTGCCAGTTTTTTTCCTCAAAAGTCCTGTGTGCTGAGGATTAGATCCAGCTGTCATTCCCACACAACAGTGCATGAAGAGCAGGGCACCAAGCTACAGCAGTATCTTGGGTATGTGTTTTTCATGTGCAAGTTTCTAGACCTGTTTTATCTATACCCCTCTGGGAAAACAGGGTAATGTGTTCTCTAAAGTATCCTGGACACTACAAAAGATGACAATTATCCAAAACAGTTGGAAGCAGTTCCAGGGGACATGAAGGGAGACAAGATGAGCTTAATCTGCTGAACCTCATGTTCTCCTCATTGAATTGTTCCTGTTTCCCAGGCACATTTTGTTAACTTCAAGAAGCTAAACATCCAAAATACTCAGTACCAGCCTTGGGGCAAGGGGGTGATGTCAGATCAAGGTGTAAGTGCAAAACAAACCAAGATTAAGCAACATAGTTTTACTTTCCAGAGAAGCTGAATTACACCTTAGACTGCAGCCAATTTCCCAAAAACTAACTCAAGCTGCATTTGAGAAATAAGTGTCCTTCCATGGGCAATAGGCAGCAAAGATTTTCAAAGAGACATCTGAAGTGAAAAACACTCTGATGGGGGCTGGTTGGGGTTTTTTTCAAAGTGTGGCGTTAGCTATGTTGTGTAGTACTTCAGCTTGAACAACTGAAGTAGGGTTTTCACTAGTGTATTTTCTGATTGGTCTGGATTTAAGAGAAACATTTCAATATTTTTTATCAGATTCCTAAATGTCACTGTGCAAACCGGATATTAGTGACATGAGTTATGAGCTTCAGGAAGGTGAAAAATATGGGCCTTGCCAGAAGGTAGTGAAGACAATATTCTGACCGGTAGTTGGACTCCATGTACAGGATAAACAAGAGATGACACAGTTCCTTCCTTCAGGGTCCTGATACCTAATCTGGGTGTCTGAAAAATGAAACTTAGAGGGTACGAATGCACATGAACACGCCAGAAGGAAGTCATTTTCTGATAGTTCAGCTGCACAAAACCAAAATCCTATCTGTTGTTCTTATTCTCCACCACTTCATGGATAAACAGGAAAGCAGGATTTGACACAGTAAATACATTTGACGTAGTGCTGCACGACTTATTAATTCCATTAAATCAATTAAGGTACTTGTAAAAGCAGTATGTTAGAGAATCAGAAAGTGTTTCATTTCTTTAAATGAAGTATTTGAAAGATGATTTCAAGGTAAGTAAGAGATGAGTGAAATTGAGTGGGCAGGCAGAGGTGTGAAAATCGCGAGACTGGCTACTTCCACAACAATACAAGCACCAGCATTTGCTAACATAACTCTCTATTAATAAAGTTGTGTTACGTAACTCCACTGAACTAATTTTGAAGACACAATTCCCAGCACTACTCTATCTTCTAGTCACTGTCATAACACCACGTGTTAGCAAATAGTAAGCACACTGAGAGAATAAGAATTGCAAAAACTAATCTGTGAGACATCCTTACAAGCTATTGGTTCTTTGGGTTCAAATATGAAGATCCTCACACTACGGAGGCTAAAAAAAGACCAACAGACTAGAAGAGAAACCTAATAAAGGATTTCAGTGTAATTTGCCAAATGTCAGAACATAAACTGATCAGATCTGTTCCGATCTGAACACAATCAAGATCATGTGACACTGCTTCACCAAAAAAAAAAAATCACTGTACAATATATCACATAACTTAAAAATAATGATAGTGGCTAAGTCTTAAACATGTCTACTTAAAAAAAAATTTCATTTTTACTGAAGCAAAGCACTCAGCAGTGAAAAACTGAAACATGCTTCCAAATGTAGTTAAGCAAAGATTGTCAATCTTTGTCAATCTAAGTCAATCAAAAAGGAATCTTAACTTAAAAAAATAAGTACAGCTAAAGGCCATTTAGAACAGCAATACTTCTCTAGTCTTGATAAGGTAAAATTCAACAGCAGCATGTCTCATTCAAGGATATTTCAAAATTTTGCATCATGTGGTCGTCCATGGGCATCACCTCTTTTACAGAAACACTGGCATTTCTGAACAGAACAACCTTGTCATGATTTTTCATGACCACGGCACAAGTTTCCATATCCACCTAAAAAAAAATTCTGTAAACACATTTTTTTCCTAGGTCATGCAAGGTAACAGGATTTACGTGTAACTGAAGAAAAGAAGCAGCAAGGAGGGCTACAAAGCAGAATTAAAAAGAAAAAAAAAAAAAGAAAAAAGGGATTACTAGGGAAGCAGTTACTTATTAGCACTGTAGTTCAGGCCAACTGATGGCATCCAAATGCCACTTGTGTCCAGAAGAAGTCAGTCAGATCGCTGGCGTAACGTTGGAAGAGAGGCAGGTCAAACAAAGCCTTCGAACCCAAACCTCCCAATCACTTGGACAGTGGCTTGAAACTCATCGTTCCGATTAAGCCCCTTCTCTAATTACTGGGGCTACTTCAAGCACAGCAGCAGGTTTTGCCTCAGAGTAGAATACACAAAACAATTTCATATAAATTCTATATAATCCTCTATAATTTGAGTATCCTGCATTCTCACACACAGAGTATCAGGTGGGCACATGGAGCAATGACACCTTCATCTTCAAAGGTTTATCGCAAAGAGGTGCTTTAAACACTAACTTTTAGTCACCAAAACAAGTTCCAACACACAAAATGCACAGTTAAGAGTGGGTCAGCTTTCAAGAACCAGGTCTTGTAAGTGTGCTGTGTAAAACCAAGCATTACACCGATTATTTCAAGCAAATTAGATGCCAGACTAACCTGTGGCTTAAAAAGAAACTTTGTGGAGTCAGGTCAAAACCTCAGGCGGTAGCAAAGAAAAGACAAACAAAAAAGGCCAAAGATTAAGCGTGAGAGGATAAATTAGTAGTAGAGGCAAAAGGAGCAAAAACATGTTAAGAGGAATTGGCATTACACTTGTTCTAAAAAAGCAATATTGCTGTGGTCATCTTATTTCCGAGATACGCAGAAATAGTTAATAGTTAACTGCATCATTCCAGTTCAAAGCAAGCTACAAAAAAGAAAAGCAATGGATTGCAAATGAGTGTCCCACTATGTGGGGAAAACTCAATGATCTTCATCTCCCAAGGGATTCCACTCAACTGCTGTTAGAATCAGTGCTGCCTAGTTCTTCTTTCTTTATTGAACATAAGTTGTATTCAAGTTTGTTTGAAATAACTAATATAATTTGATGATGTAGCAACAAACTGGAAAAATGTGTATGTTTTCATCATAGACCTTACCAAAGAATGCAGACGATAGAGATTTACTTCTAACACGTAACCATCACTGAACCAGAGTAATTTCTTATAAAATTAACCACTGTTTAGACAATTAATTCTAATTAGTAATATTAAAAGGCATTCACATATTTATTTACTCATGAGGTGGAAGGGTTAGAAAAGACTGTCAATGATATATTGATCCTCCTGGTGCTATGAAAAGAATGCTAAAAAGGCTTTAAACATCTCTAAGTTTATTAATACAACTCACTTTTTCTATCAGAACTCCTTTACATAAGCAAAATCGCAGGAACAGTACCTGTACCCATAAACTGCATGTTCATTTACACAAGACCTAACGTTTCCTTTCCGTTACCAGAAACTTATTTGCCCACCTTTCAAAAACAGGTTCACTATGAATCGAGGCACTTATATCAGATAAAAACTGCTTTCCAGTTATATAATAAAATAAACACCAATTAGTCATTTTAGTTGAGAAACACAGTAAATTCTAAAAATATTAGTTTTGTTGGAAGTTTTCTACAACATTTTAAGTCATACTAGTTCCTACTGGTAACAGCAGGTTAGTAGCAGTTAAGTGATGAACTGCAATTATACTTCGTTGAGGGAGTGCTACAGACGAGACAGTTTAACATTAAGTAGTTTAGTAGCAAGTATTCAACAAACCAAGTTAGAGACAAACTTTGCCCTCTGAGAAGCTAAATGAAAAAGCAACAATAAAGCTTACAAGAACTTAGCTCGTACAATTTGCCTTGAAGGCGGTAGATTGGTTCCCTGAAATAGCAAATTGCAAAGATGAAGTTTTATTTCAGTAACATTTTATCATTCTTTTCAACTCCAAACAATTAACTTACAAACATCTGTTTATTGTCTTTAAAATAAAAGGTTCAGCAAAGTCCTTTATACCAAAAGCAGTAAGGTTTCGACATTTAATTTACAACGCCAAGCTTTCTCTCTACTTCTTTAGAGAGAAAACATTCACTTAATCAAAAAATCATTAATTTTATTTGTGTATTTTTGAAGAGTCAGATAATTGGTCGATTTTCCTTTTATGGGACACTCCAAAGCGATGACGGTTGTTGTGTTTGACACATGTTCCGGCACAGCTAGATAAGAAGGAAATCTCTCCTCAGAGGGGAGAGACTAGTCTTTGAAGCCACTTCAGTGTTTAGACCTTTCAAATTTTTTCATTTTATTCCAAACCATGTATTTCATGAAAAATGCCACTCATGCCTGTCAGGCTGTGCGGAACCATCACATCCAAGAAGTTAATGGATTATGCTAACTAACATCTCAAAAATAACTAGCGATGTCTTGGTGGGAGGAAGAGGTTGGACTTCCACCCCCAAAAAGACAACTACAGTTTCAAAAAACCATTATCACAGCAGAGTAAGAGACTTTCTGAAGTGTCAGGTTTATCACCTGAGAGATCTAAACTCAGCGGTCATGTTTGAAAATCTCGACCTTTCACCTCCTGAGCACTGTTTGACCAAATTGCACATGAAAACATCATGAAGCCCTTCAAGACTGATAATTACTTACAGGAAATTTCTTTGTCTTATTTTCACTAGAATTTTGTATTTCTTTTTAAAGTACATACTAATTCCGTAACATTTTCATTCTGTTTAAGACTTTGCAAAACCCTCAGAGTCAGTAGAAACCCTCAATGTTGTATCATTTTCATTATTTTCATCTCACCCGCAAGAAAAAAGACTGATGCTGCGCAATACCAAGCACCCCTGACCCACACAAAAGCGAAGAAAGAAGCAAAGATCAGGAGCACTCAGCATCTTGCAGAATCAATCCCATGTTCTTAAGTGATAAAAAGAAACAAGTAAGTCATTTCATTAATAAATCTCAGTGAAAACACCAATTAATCTGAGACCATCAAGCAGTTCTTTGTTTACGCCCTATGGTACGCAGTCAACACCTCTGTGAAGTCAACTGAAGTTTCCAGAAGAGGCAAAGGCTTTCGCTTGCTGAACTGCCCCTTCACTGCTATTAAGCTGGAACACGTAAGAACTAGTAAAATGACTACGACAAAGCACGCACAAGCAAGTACTCACCAGCGTTTTGGATTCTGAAATTCACAAGTTTGCGGTTAACAACAAAATACATTGATGCGCAACGCGAAAAGATTCAATGCGCTCAGCGGCACGGGAAGGAAGACACTAACCAGCAGTGCAAGCAGTAGCATTAAATACACGATAGCAATGAAAGTCAGGTGACGCTGAAAAATTCAGTAAAACAAGACGATGGTCACACATTTTATATATGTTTGAAGCAGAAAATGTAAATGATACACTGACAACAAAGAAACGCAGCCAAGAAAACCAAAGAGCTTAGATTAACTTGCACATGCCATGATCCATTCTCTGTTAGGTGCCTACCTGATTTCCCACTGCACTTTTGTTAACCTGACTGCTTCTTTGTTGGGCACTAAGGGAAGCAGAGAAGAGTTATACTGAGGACGCTCGAACTAAGCCAGTTCCTGAGGAATAGATTTTAGCAGTAATAGTTACTTCTGATTCCAGCACAGGAAGCTAGTCACAAGGAAACACGGCAAAATCACTGCATACATGTGCATACTTCAACTCCTTTTTCTTACAGTGTAGGAATGCCTGCTTCTATTTGCCTGCTTAGGACAGAAGGGACATGCACAGCAGACACCTCCTACTAATCATCTCCTTTGTAACAGCATCCTACTCGGATTGGCAAAGGTTACTAAAAGCACAGAGAAATTATGGCTCGTGTGGGTAACCTTGGAAACATTAGCCTCTACAAATATTCAAGAGACAAAAAGCAAGCCATTTCTGTTATTTAGCACAGTACAAAATAATCCTCCCATGCTGGAGGCTCCTTAATAGCTTTGTCTTGACAGTTTGTTTTGGGTATTCTAATATTCATATGCACGTTGTGGATGTAAATATAACCAACAGATGAAGCAGTCGCAAGCTGGTTCAAAAAGCTGGAATCGTGTAAGAACAGAGAATATGTGAAATTAAACCATATTTAAACTATTTTGCTCAATTATTGAACTCTGGTAATCCCAGTCCCAGAAACAAAACACACTCCTGTCTCAAGAGCGTACACGTTGCCATTAATTCTAAAAGCATTTGCATTATGTGGTGGTTTGTAAGTGTTAGGCCACAAAATTAAAATACTGCTGGGAAGAGGAGGAAAAGCATGCAGAGAGCAGGCTTTGGCTACTCAGCCACCAGAGCGGCCACTGGTGACAGGAAGTTTTGTTTGGATTAGATTTTACCATTTCACCAGGCATTGATTGACTGACGAAAAAAGCGTACACACTAAATCAGCGTCAAACACTGCTCTGAAAGAGCAAAAAAGATAGATGTGCCTGGATCACAGCCTGTGGGCCAATCCTGTGACTGTTCTGTGCACAGCTGCTGTGCCAAAGAATTGCCGAAGCACCAAACTTAGCCCAGCCCCAACTCTGATCCTGCCCTTGGGACCACACTCCAGCGAACCAGCAGTCCACTTGCTGTCCTGTGAGAAGATCCACAAGGATGATTATTCCATGTACCTATTGACTGGGATTAGCTCTCAACCATCCAGATGCTTTTGACCAAATAACACTGACTGCCTCTGGTGCATCGTCCGAGTTGCATAAGCTTTGGTGTATAAATTATGAGTAAATAACGAGCACACAGACAACACAGCACTAATCCCTCACCAACTCCAATCTGTTGGTTGAGAAACACACATGAGATGGCTTTAGGAAACCTAATGGCCATTCCTTTGGTTTGGGATTGGGGTTTTTTTTAATTTTATCATCCTAAAAAGCTAATTAGACGTCTAACATCAAATTAAGAAACCCAGACCTTTTAGAAATAGGCCAGCAATCGGTCCTCTACTGCTCCAAATACAAATTACTCTTCATGTAGACTGAAGCATGCAGCTATGTTCAAGTTACACCAACTGGAAACAAGCCCAATCCCAGCATTTTACCACTCGTTCTGCTAAATGAAACAAACATTAATATTCTAAGATTTCACAATTTCATAGCTATGCAAAGCTGTTCTAAAGACTGGCATTTTTAAACCACATTCACATCGCACTGTACCTGCCTTCAGCCCTGTCGTGCTGCAAGGTACTTTGAAATGTGCTCTCATTCTTACGAGCCAGCTTCACAGGACTTCCACTCATAAAACACTGCAGTCACATGAGAAAACTGCCTAGAAGACTCAGCAAAAGAAAGGAAACAACTAGGGAATCTGGGGAATGTCCAGGATGTTGAGATACTGCAGAAGCCTATATGCTACCCAAAAAATTATTTTGTTTTCCAGTTCTAACATAATTGCTATAATAATACAATTACAGTTCAAGGTGTGTATTTTCTACTGTTTAGCTCATAAATTAATATATATAATCAACATTTATTAATATATATTAACATTTTAAATTGTTCTTAGTTATCCAGGTTTTCTCTTCCAGCTAAGCACAAGTCAACAAAGATACTTCTCTTCCCACCCATTTCAACCTACAGAAACACTTGCTTAAACTCATCAGTGAACTTAAGCGAAGAGCCATTTGTTATCTGCTTATACCCCACGCACAGCAGCTGGGGATTTCCACATCTCAGCTAGCGAAAGAGGAGGCAGCTTTACCAAGAAACTGAACTTGGACATTGCAACTCCTTGGAAAAGACACAACAGTGAGGACCACGGACTGAACTACAGGCCCCAACAGCAGCATCCATGAGGAGGACTTTTCCAGGGGGTAGACATAGTGAAATAGCTCCAGATATACCTGGCACTCCAGAATCTGAGACTATAAAACATGGAAGGTTCCAACTTGACACAAGGAAAAGTCTTTTCACAGTGAGGCGAGGCAAGCATTGCAAGAGGCTGCATAGAGAGGCTGGAGAACCTCCAATTTTGGAAGTTTTTCAGATCTGATTGGGCAAAGCCCTGAGTAACCTGGTCTGAACTCAGCGCTGACCCTCCTCTGAGCAGGAGGTTGGGCTATGTGACTTCCCAAGGTCACAACACACCCCATGAATATATATGGAGTGTTTTTAACAGGCTTTTTCCTGTCAGAAAAGGATGAAGAGAAGTAAATAGCAGGCAGGTTGTTATCCTGACCTCTAGAAGGCCAGCTCCCATTCCTACAACATCCTGTCATTTGTCAAGAGAACCGATAACGATACCTAGGACCTACAAACAACTCTAGAGAAAGTTGCTCAAACCTAGCACACAAACAGTGCCTGGCTTTGCCTTCTCTCCTCTCCGCTTAATGCAACTCTGTGTTTTAAACCTTCAAGGCATACTGCTGAAGATGTAGACCTTCCTTCACAATGCTAACTAGAATGGGCCATAGTATAATACGCGCTGTGGTGCCAAAATTTCTTGCCAGCGTCCCACATGGATGAAACATGTTGCGATTCCAAACACTGTTATGGCAAATACGGCATGAATATGACTGAAGGAACATCTATTCTTCAAAGAGTGAAGACATCTTTAATGTTTTTACTAGTGTCAAAATGCTGGTATGAAGTCCCTGAGGCACAAATTGCTGGAAGCTGAGGGAGAACATTCTGGAGAATATTCTCACAGCCTTTTCAATTAAGCGAGGAGAACGTCAAACCAGGTCCTGCAGGGCATTCTGCTACTATTATTCTCTACAGCCAAACAGCGGGCACTCTTACAATTCAGTGACATCCATTACTCTGAGCAAAACTGTTTCACATGGAATCACAGCTCCCAAAATATGTATTAGCAACAATGTGGAAAGGCCACCAATACTATGCATTTCTGTGGTCCTGAAATGGATACAGCAAGGGCATTGGCTTGCCAAAGCTGCTTCCTGAGATGTATGCGATTCCAGACCAAGACATAAGCTTCAGCAAAACCAGGCTCGTGAACTGGGGTACAGAATCCACTAAAAGCAGGACAGAGATTCAACGCTGTATATTGAGAAAGAGCATGCTCCTGCACATTTGGGAGTTTGCAGCTTCCATCTTCACTGTCACACTTCAGGACTTGTGTTTTGAACTTAATAAAAAAATAAAAACAAACCCAAAAATGACAGTGTCCTTGTAACAAAGACGCTATATACCTACTTTGCAAAGCCAATGAAGTCTTCGTGGTTGGTGTTGATGTAAGAAACCTGGATGTCAATCAGCAGCAGCACCTATAAGGGGAGACAGGAAAGCAAAAAAAAAAAGGATGGGTAAGCTGGAGGAGAGAGACTGAGAAAAAGGAAGGGAGAAAGGAACAGCCCTTTTGAGTGTTCTGCATTAGTGAATATTGCTTTCATAATCGTTCAAGCCAAAAGCAACAATATTTTCTCCATCTCACCACTTCTGTTCATGTGCTTGTTTAATAAAGTAGACTACAGAAGAGCTATTCCCTCTTCCTATTTCTTCCTGACAGATCTCATTTTTCACTACCTTGGCCCTTGTCTACTACATTAAGATCAATCATCCCTGGCCAAAGAGAGTTTAATAATATATATATAACAGATTCTAGCTTTATGTTTTGTAAGTTAAGCAAAATTCTACTCGTAGCATTCCAGCCAAGCCAGCAAGGAACCCAAACCTTAAACCTAAAATCAGGGTACCTAAGCTTTCTTGAGGTACTACACGAAGAAGTGATAGGTAAGCTAGTCCTGGCCCAGAAAACATCCAGTCCAAGTACCACACAGTCATTCTGGTGCACATGCCTGGCTTGAGACACGGGCAAGCCAACGAAATAACAGAATGAATGGTTTGTGTACTTGTCACTTGCTAGTCCTTAGGTAGCCCAGAGAAAGAATTTGATTTGAACCTGATAATCTAACTCAGCAAAGAACTTGCTAAGATATTAGAGAAAGCTGACTTCCACCCTTGAACAGCTTCTTGAAAATGCACGAGACTGCACTTTCCCTCCAGCTTTTTGGATTTGCATTTACTGGCAGGGAGCAAGGAAGAAACCTATTACTACCAAATCGGAGCATTTAATCTCTTCTAAGTGTACCTACAGCTCCTCAAACACAGCATCACTCCCACATTCTTCACAATTTCAGAAGATGCTAGGTGCTTTACTCAGAGCAAAAGATAGTGAGGATTTGGGTCTAGCTCTTACCTCTGAAAATACCCTCACTAGCATTTTGATTTATTAACAACAACTGCTAACAGCATAAAGAATGATGTGAATATGTGACAATAACCTATTTGACCAATTCTTGGCATTTAAGGAAAGCTGGTATTTCGTACTTTGTTCTGGAAAGCTGCCAGGTATGCACACACAATGAAGAATGAAATAATAATTTAAAAAAAAGACTCAATTATTCTAAGTAACTTAGATCTTCTTCCAAATTTTCAAATAACTGACTGTGCTAACTAGAACTCCCTGCAAGCACAAGCCCAGCAAATACAGTTTTTAAAAAATTATTAAGACTACCTTCACAGCACAGAATAAAGGAAAAGAAGCAGGACCAGCTCCCTAGCTCGCACAGGGGCAGGACTAGAGAGACAGGAGTCCAGAACAACTTCGGAGCTCTGCCTAACCCTTCTTCCCCTAATATTTCTCTTGTCACACTCTGCACCCTCCAGACAATATTCCTGTTTCCACTTCCAGTAGATGTTCTCACATGTGATTTAGCCTTTGAAGTTTCCTGGATTTGGAATGTGTAGATGAATTTTCTAAACAAGTTTCTCTGGGTTTTGTGGGGTTTTTTTTGAAACTGGAAGGAAAGCTTGTCACTCCCGCTGGAGTCCCAGTACAATCGCTCGTGGGCCTCACTGCCATTAGAACATGGGGTGGGTATGTTAACCAAAAAATGGAAACAAAGTAGAAAAAAGGCTGAGTATTCCTGTGTGTTTCTATTTAATCATTAATCGATTTCCCACAAACAGCTGTTGTGGCACAGCTAAGAAGGTGGCACTGAAACAAAGCAATGCTATTTTAAACCACCAATCCTAATCCTGAAAAGTCAGATTAAGATTTTCTGTAAGAACTCGAGTCTCCTCTGTCAAAGCTCAGTGGTAGAGGAGCAATTTCTCTCCCCCTCTAAAATGTGCAGCTTTTAGGGAGAAAAAACATTTTCATTGTCTTACTGTACTTTGCATGTAAGAACTGTCCTCCTTCACACACTTCCCCAAATACATCTCCTATTTATTCTCACCTGATCCTTGGTCTTCTCTTCTCTTTCACGAATGTAGCCAGCAACAATTCTTTCTGTTTCCTCACACAACCTTGGGTAAGTTGCCAACTGAAAAGCAAAATTCATAGAAATGTACACCTGCAGGGTGACTTCAATAGAATACAAACAGGGAAGCCTCCAGATTTCCTCTTTGGAAGAAAGCAATTATTGTAAATGCTTGGGCTAAAAGCTAACTACACTACACAGCAAGCTTTACATCCTCTTAATGGTTATTTTCCAGAGAAACTGGAGACACCTAAACCCTTGGATTGCTTCTCTGCTTTTGCTACATGGAACACTGAGGAAAAGACACTGTGGACATGTGAACCAGTTTATCAGGCTTGGGGCGAGGTTTCTCTATGCCTCTCTTCTACTGTGCCTAATTCCAGAGTGGCGCTTTACGTAATTTCCAAATTTCTTGTTTTTTGAAGGCTCCACCTTGTGGCAATATCTTTACATCTCAGTAACAACTCTTAAAAATGTAAACAGCAAAACAGTGCAGTATATTCAACCAACAGCACTGGGAAAAGAAGTTGCACATTACTTCAAGTGACGTATCTTCCAAACTTAGACCAATGTGAAAAGAAAACCAGGAAACTCTGCTCAAAATGTTGCAGTGAATCAGCTTCTCTATGATCTTTGTCAAAAAGATTTTCACCATTTCACTTTTTTAGAAATAGCTAGTTAAATTGCTCATTGGTATGGAAAAAATGGCATTATTTCAGAAAAACATGAAGGATGTGACGGGATATTTCTCAACAGTTTCGGCATACATGTGCTCATGTGCCAGAACCGCTCCTACCCTTGCTACCACCAAGGGTACCCTGCCCTCCGAGATGGTGGGAAAGACAGATGAACAATAAAAGAGACAATAAAAGACAATAAAAGTAGCCAGATCAATAAGAAACCTATATGAGTCAATGGGATCTTCTAGAATATCACCAAGTAATGGGAGAAAAGAGAATCAAAAATCAGCAACTGTTAGTTGCCAGTGCTCCAGGCAAGCGAGCGGCAGTGTTTACAGATGACATCTTTCCCATGAAGGTACAAAGTGTGATGGAAAAAAGTTCCATATTAATATATCTGACATGCTTCCCTAACCACAAGCTGGAGGGGTGTGAAGTTTGAGCTTTCTTTCTACGACGATACACTAACCCAAGCACACATTCAGAAAACTATTCCCAAATACTCATAGCATACTGACACAAGGGAGGGGAACTGTTCCTACCTTTCCACTTCTAACTTCCTGGAGAGCAGAGGTTTTGGAGTTGTGTATGAAAAAAAGCACAGGAGAAGTGGTGGACCCATGGCGCTGCCAAGAACCAAGGTGCTATCCAGTGAAGTTTCAATACAGGAAGAGCATTTTTCTCTCCTTGATAGAAGTGTCTGAACACATTTGAGGCCTTTGCACTAGAATAGTTTCACTATTTCTCCCCCTTATTAGCATTGGAAAAGAAAACTTTAAAGTACCATTTTTTTGCTGATTTACAAGTCCATGGAATTGCTGCCTACGTTCCACCTTAAACCCATGTTTTCATTGATACTAAGAGAGGGCAACTCTTAACTCAAAAAACTCCAATCACAAGGCATGTATATATATTTTTTCTAAACACAGGAATAAAAAATGAACATTTCCAGCATTACACTGTTTTGAGAGTTTTGCAGAAGTTGTAGTTATTTTAGAGTCTTACTCCGTACATCAAGTGACTAGGTATCTCTTCCAATATTGTAAAATGCAAGGGAGGTTTCATACTATCTACTATACCCTTACATTATACCTACATTACCAGATCTATTTACAAATTACCTTTTTAGTGCACTTCTTGACAGTGTTGATTAACTCTTGCATCACCAGATCCACACTTTTCAAGCAAGGTCCTTTCAGCTTGACTATCTGTTTTTTAACAATGGCTTCAAACGCCATATCTGGAGTAAACAAACCTGTTCTGTGGACATAAAAGAATACGTAAGACAGTCATAAAAAACATCATGCAAGATGATCTTTTTTTTTTACTGAATTATCCCATCTTCATTTTCAGAGGCTTATAGATGAGTAAGAATGATCCTACACAAACAGACTTCCACAGAACTGTATTTGTCCCTTTCTGTCACTGTGAGTAAGAATATAAAAGCAGAAACATGCCCTGCTACTTCAAGATGACTGTGAGAACTCTGAAGAGTATTGATACAATGCACTAAAGCGTCTTCAGCCCTGCATCAAACCTCAGAGAAGGGATGAGTGTCAGCTGCAGCGCTCCATGCAGCCACTTCCGTAGCAAACCCCTAAGAATCCTATAGCTGCACTTTTCACTCACAACAGGGAATGTGGTTCTGTTACTCAGAGCTCTATATGGAGAATTCCACAGTTGGTCACTACAGGGTACATGAACCTATGTAACAAGATACCTCACAGAACCACTTCTACCCAAACAGGCCTTAGTCTCTGTCAAACGCTGCCTGCAAGGGTCTACCGTAGCAGATGATACACAAAAGCAAACTACAGCAACGTGCCCAAAACAATCAGTTCACTACCATAAACTGCTCATCAGGACTTTTCCATCAAGGCCAGGATAGTTCAAATACTGCACCACAGCTACTAGAGTCAACATCTGAGACCTTACTTCACTTGGCAAGTAACGCCAAGAACATTTTCCAAAACACTACGAACATCAAAGCTTGTAAGCAATGCTTTTGGAAGGTATTACATACCTACAAGTGGGTAGGAGGAGGGGAAAAAAACCAAACATCTACAAAAGAACCCAAGCTTTTTAGGATCTGTTCTATTGTCAGAAGAACAAAAAATGGGTATTCATCTGACGGTGTCCCTGCAAAACAGACTGAGAATTCCAAAGTGAGATAATTAGGCCATTCCAAACCAAAAAAACCCAAATACTTCTTTCTTCCCAAACCTAATAATATACCGCAGATGGATCCACAGAATGAAACCTCAGCCAACTCACTAGTAAATCAGTCATTTCAAGAAACAGCTGACAATAAAGGGGAGTAAGATACTTCAAGGAGCCTGCTGCAACACAAGCTGGAAGGGTTTTTTCATATCAACAGCAAGTTTTGTGCTGTAAAACTTCTGACTTTTCAGGAATACAGACTTCACAGAACTTCTGACACCAGCAGAGAGTCGCTGATTTTCTCTGTAAAATAATTTTCCAGCATTTCCAGGTATACTAAAGCTCCTTGGGCAAACCAATTATTTGGCCCAAAATAGCTACCTGAAAACCAGAAGTGTAAAAGAGCAGAAGAAAAAGGTTAAAAAGACCACACTCCATAGTGTGACTGGACTTGAAAACATGGAAGCACTTGCCTGATACCATGTATGTTCTTGATGGCGTAACTTATTTCTCTCCGCAGTTCCTTCTCGTTGAATTCCATCTAGAGGAACAAAAGCATATGAGATCGTATTAGAGATGTTTTTAACAAAACAGAAAATATTACCTTTCCCAATATACCTGGAAGACAGGCAAGTTCAGCTGGCAAAATATTCATTTTTAATTTTGCTAAACAAAGTATACGTATTTTAAAACATTTTAGCACTAAGACTACAGGCAGCAGTAAGGCTTGTTGAGATTATGCACGCTTCCACTACAGACACGCCAGCAGATGGAGCAATTCTGCAGAGTTAACAGAGTAAGCTAGAAAGCAGGATTTGGAAGATGCAATTTCCATTTTTTAAGCCTGGTTTCCTAAATTGGTGCAACTTCTGTGATTACGGTCTGTTTATCCTCCCCTTCTCATTCCACCAATCTTCTACCAAATTTAAGAGAGGAGTGGTCTCAGTTATGAAGTTATAAAGCTTTTCTTTAAGCTTCTTGCAAGCCAGCTAGCTGGAGGAGAAGTCAGTGCTGTCACAAACAAAAGGGTCATTACCTAAGCCCAACTGTCATCTCTTCTGTTGGACTGCTGGTTGATCTACCGCATTTAAACCTTGGAACCAGCCACAGCCCTGTCTGGTTCTTACCCAACTGAAAGTTAGGGATGTCAAGGCAGCTGAACATCGAATAAGTGGAAAGGAAGCTTAGGAAAAGTGTGAAAGAATGGGGACTAGAGATACAGTAGAGTTAATGGTGAGGGGAAGCTGAAGTCAAAGAATAAGTAACACAAATTCATAGGAAAACAGGTTTCATTAGTTGACACTCCACTGGATGTCCATTTATTGTGTCACCCAAAGGATGGATAAGCAGGAAGAGATGTATTAAGAGGAGAAATGTTATCTCGAAACACCAAATTTGCTTCTGCTCCACCTCCCACTATGAAAGCGTAGGACTGAAAGCTGCCTTTGGTTTAATGCATCGAATACAGGAAGTAAAACACAGAAAATGGCTACTTTCCATAACTCTGATTTTAATGGGTATTAGCTACTTGAACACAACAACTTAAATTTACCAAGTCTAGTTGTTTGCCTGCCCCGTCTAACCAGAAGGAAGATGCTATGTGATTAAACAATAAAAAAAAGCATGAGAAATGGTAAGAACTGAGACTATCATTATATACCAATTCCTACATTTCAGAATGCTTAGCATGCCTCAGTATCCAAAGCTAGAAATGAAGCCAAACGTCTCAATTATAACTTCATGTTATTTTTTCCACAGTTAAGAGCATGTTCTTCCAATCAGACCTTATCTTGGCTTTACTACTCTCAGAATGAACATTAGAATACATAAATAAAACACAAAGCACACCAGCAGGATGGATAAATACCTTCACTAGTTCAAAAGGAAAACGTTCATGGAAAATGCGATTGATTTTGGCGCCTCCTGAAAGTTCTAGTGTATCCACCTGATCCCCCGATCCTTCGATTCTTTTTTCAAAGTCCACTGAAAACTGTTGTACCATCCTAAATTTCAAAGGGGGGAAGAAAACAAAACAACCACAACCATTTAAGCATGTCAGCTACCTGCTCTTACTTGAGCACCAGTGCCTACTAAAACATGGTTAGGAATTGACAAAAGTATCTATAAGCTGCCAATCCATAAAATCCCTACCTACACCCACAGCCCTACGCCCTTCTCTCTCGCAGAACGTAGTTCAGTATATAGTATATTCATAAATGTTGGACAAAAGTATCTATAAGCTGCCAATCCATAAACTCCCTACCTACACCCACAGCCCTACGCCCTTCTCTCTCGCAGAACGTAGTTCAATATATAGTTTTCTTTATTCATAAATGTTGTCTTTTTTAAAGCAATATTGTTTATTAAACTGTCTGTTAAAGTCAGCTACAAATACAGAGTAACAGGCTACATTCGTGTTCTATCACTGATCCCAAAATTGTAAATGCTACCGTTATCTATTACATATTTTTTTTAAATTTACTACGGTTTTCAAGAAGAAAAAGTGATAGCAGACTTCTTAGCAGGATAAGCTAATAAAAGTCCTGATGTTTAAGTTATAATACTGTATTTGAACAGAAAAGCACATCCATATTTAGATGCTGTTATAGAAACTGCAGAGCTCAACGGGGCAGACCACCACAAGCAAAAATCTCCAATCTTATGGCAAAAGGTACCTTTTGGGGAGGTACCACAAACTCCAGTTTACTTGGTTGTGCTCAGATTTCTGCACCAGGGGCATTTAGAAGAACACAAATGAGAATTCCTCCAGTTATGGAAGATCCCTATATAGCTGAATTTTCTTCTTGTTTTTTAGTAAGTACAAGCATTTGGTCATAAAATTTGAAATGACAGATTATGCCAACATTGCATATCAACTGTCCATAAGCCTCAGACATGGTCAGGGTAACAGAATTACAGAAAGAGCTTAAGCGTAGGGCCCCAGGTGCAATTTCTGAAGAGGACTGCAGAAACATAAGAGCATCTTACGGGTTGAGCTGAGGCTGATTATTTTTTTTCTTTTATGAATAATGAAACTTGTTCTCAATAATCAGAGGAAAGGGATAATCTCAATAATCAGAGGAAAGTTATGTTACTTTCCAAACCCCAAAAGAAAAAAGGGAAAGTGAGGAGGGTTTTTATGACAAAATAAGTTAATTTCTCCTATAGCACCTACTCATAATGAAGGAAATGGAAAAAACCATGCAGAGAAGTATCGAGCAGGATGACTTAGGCTGAAACAGAATTCAATTCTGTTTCCTTCAGAACATGTTGCAGTATTAGAAGCAGCAGGAGCTACCAGCAACAGGTGAACAGCCAGCTCTGCTCCATCATTTTACAACTGTGTTATCAAGTCAGACTTGTTTTATGGATGAGACCCAAACTGGACAATGACTTCAGCAACAGAAAAGCTTTCTAGTTCAGAACTTATGATAATGTAGCTCCAGAAGTTGCTGCAATTCCTCCGACAAACACCAACAGTATTCAGTTCCTGACTTTCTGAGCCCAAAAGGATCAACATCTGCCCAGTTGGTTTTAGCACAAGTACAGGTGGCACATCTTATCACCTATTTTGCTGCTGGTTGTCAGATGCGTGCTCAGAGAGGCAAACGGCAAGAAAGGGGTCTTCACCCACCCCGATGCACTACCACCTGAATGTGAGAATGGCTGCACTGCGACAGACCAAAAGCAGTATCATGACAGTCACCAGCACAAAGTGCCTACGAGAACAGAGCAAGCACACAGCACTATTTCTCCAGAATACTCTCCTGGCCTCAATATATCGTTGTTCATTGATTCCATAGAGCAGGAATTTGTCCTTCTACTTACTAACCTTAAATGTCTTCCCCATCCCAAGATTTTGCCCAGCTGCTTTCTGAAAACCCACTGATTTTAAGCATTATCTCCTGCAGTGAAGAGCTCTGTAGCTTAGGTGCACATCACATGAAGGACTACCATCCTCAACTAATTTTGATTTTGCCATCTTTGAGCTCTTTTGGGTAGCCAAGTTTTTATATTGAAAAAGAAACATTCCCTACTCTCCTTCCAGACTCCTCATCTTACAGACATGCAACACAATCTCCTTCCCTGGCTTGAGGTCACCCTTTCAGCAGGCTGGAGAATATGTCTATGCAATCAGAAGCAGTTTCTTACCTTTGATCACCTATGTTGTCTATCTTTGTACCCTTTCCTGTTCTGCTTTCTCTCTTTTCTAGGATTACTAAAATTAATTTAGGGAAAACTCTCTTGAAATTGTAGAGTAATTAAAGTGTTCTGAAACATCAAGCACAGAATTCTTTGGAGTTTGCATGCCGAATCCTTAACCATATCCTGATCTTTACATTTAAACCCATTAGAAATATTTTTTAAAAAGGCAAAACAAACCTATACAAAGTGGAAAAGCAGACAAAAGACTGAACACTCACTGCAACAGGGCTTTCGTTTTTCTGGTTGGATCTTCTGGTCTGAAGTTTTTGTACACCTCTACTTCATGTTCTATAGAAAGCAGCTGGCTCTGGAGTTTGCTTCTGAAGGCTGGCAGAGTATCCCGAATATGGTTGGTAAGTTGCTAAAAAGCAAATAAAAGTCCTTTTATACTGTTACTAAAGATGAAAGCAAAAGCACAACCATTTATTTCTGACTGCCAAGCATATCAGCCATGACCTGTGCTAGTTTACCAGCGTAGTACCTTTTGATCTTTGAAGCAATGGAGACTCTTAAAGAACAACACACTATACCTTTTGCATACACATTATAAGGAGGCTTGAGAAATTCCTTCATCCTCTCGCTCACTGAGCCCTGTTACTAAACACTTGTTTAGTTACGCACAAAGAAGTTACACGCGTTATGTATCTAATTTGAAATGACTTCTCATCACTCAGCACTGATGCCGCCACCCCTATTTTGCTTGTTTCCCTAAGGGTGTTTCCTAATTCCCTATATACTTGTTCAGCATGATGACTCCTTCCCTTTACAGCCACAAGGCAATGTGGGACAAGGAAGAGATTCATCCGAAGCCCATTGAGAACAGAGATGGAGTAAAGTGTGGACATACAGAGTATCTCCTTGGCATTTTCCCACCACTGGGAAAAATCACCTCCACTTACTTCTGCTCCTTTGTAAGCAGTACACTAAGGGAAGAGATTTTTCCCTCATGTTAATGATTATAGAACTTTACCTTTTTTAAACACTTGATTTTTTGCTGAAAAGGGTTCTTCTTCTTGCACTATGCTCCAAACCCTCTTCCCAACCCCAGTCAGACAAGCTATAAATTAAGAATGTCATATACCAAAGCATGTAACCTCAAAGTAAGTTGTACAGGCGTAAAATTAAAAGCTGGAGTTTCCCTGGAGCACCACCTTGTGGATATACAGAGAAACTGAAATATTACCTGAAACCACAAACACTAAGAGGTCCCTAGTATCTTCAGGACAAAGCTGAAATAGACCTTCCCATATGTAATAATCTACACAGAGTAATAAAAGACGCAAAAGTAGCAAAAGACGACCAACAGATCATACTGAAATAGGTACATTTATGAAACAGCTCACAAAGAAGTTAATAGTACATAAAGCAATGCATGTCAGGAGAGACAAGACAGTCCAAAGGCATATGCAGTTCATGCTTTAGTCTCAAAATTAAGACAAGTGGATTAAACTTTCAAGATACAAAAAGAGGCAAAACAGCCAAAATTGCAGGATATAAGTTTTTTTTCTGCTGAAGACTTGGGTTCTGAAGCACAAATGAATGGCATCAGCATTCTTTTGGAATGAGTCCAGAGCATGCCATAACCTGGCTGTCAAGTTATAGCTGCAAAGTCACTGTAGCAAGAAACTAAGCAGGCCAGCGGCTTCGTTTCCCCCCTTAATCAATAACTTCTCTGCCGTTTCCAGCAGCTGTCCAAACGGACAAAACTTAGTGGTCCTGGTCTTTCTCTATTCCAGACCAAAGGCTGCAATTTGACGATGAACTGGAAAAAACATTATCAAGTTGGAATGCCAAGAGCACAGGTCAGGTGAAAAATTAGGTTTAAAAAAAAAAGGCATCACCAGTAATTTTAGAGAGGTGGGCATGACTCGATCTTGTCCTCTCCCAACTTGCTGAGATGCACCATCATTAGGGTCACGTGCTACTCAAACTAAGGGATGGCAGTATGAAAAGAGTAATACCCAAAAGACCCACGATGCTGAAGAGAAAGATATACTCCTCCAAGTCTTCATTAGGACAGACAGCTATGGGTTTCTCCTAAAGGTAACTGGGAAAT